GGGCCCTGGCGGGTAATAATGTAGGAGAGAGACCTGCTACATTCCACACTCCAGATTCAGAAAAGGTGAGTCAGAGTAATAAGAAGAATGATTTTAACATTTAAAAACAGAACTTAAACCAGGTAAAAGACCCAGGCAGAGGAGGGAGGCTGGAGGGGGCACTGACAGCTGAGCCCACTGCATGTCCTGCCCCTCTCTCGGGGTTGAGGAGCACTGTGAGAATCAGACCCATGGAGCTCAGACCCAGCCTTTCATCTAGACCCTCCCCTGAGCACTTAGGGCCAAAGCCGTCTTCCCTTCCAGGGAATATTAGGGACAAGGGAGAGGGGGTGAGGAGGATGGCTGGTGTCCATTCAGAGGTGTCCCTGGGTCTTCTGACTGGCCCTTTCTTCTGTCTGCATAGGTGTAGACGGGGCACTGCCTATAGAGCAGGTCCTGCCAGCCTCACGGGAGAGGATGCCCCCGTGTCCGTGATGGGCTGTGGGACAAGCAAGGTCCTTCCTGAGCCTCCCAAGGATGTCCAGCTGGATCTCGTCAAGAAGGTGGAGCCCTTCAGTGGTACTAAGAGTGATGTGTATAAGCACTTCATCACAGAGGTTGACAGTGTTGGCCCTCCCAAAGCTGGGTTTCCAGCAGCTAGTCAGTGTGCAAATCCCAGCTCTGGTGTCCCCACTACCAGCCACACAGAGCCTCCCTCAGAACCACCACGCAGGACCAGGGTAGCTAAGTACAGGGCCAAGTTCGACCCACGAGTGACAGCCAAGTACGACATCAAAGCCCTGATTGGCCGAGGCAGCTTTAGCCGAGTGGTACGTGTGGAGCACCGAGCAACCCGGCAGCCATATGCCATCAAGATGATTGAGACCAAGTACCGGGAGGGGCGGGAGGTGTGTGAATCGGAGCTGCGCGTGCTGCGCCGGGTGCACCATGCCAACATTATCCAGCTGGTGGAGGTGTTTGAGACACAGGAGCGTGTGTACATGGTGATGGAGCTGGCCACTGGCGGAGAGCTCTTTGACCGCATCATTGCCAAGGGTTCTTTCACTGAGCGTGATGCCACGCGGGTGCTACAGATGGTACTGGATGGAGTCCGGTATCTGCACGCACTGGGCATCACACACCGAGACCTCAAGCCTGAGAATCTGCTATACTACCACCCAGGCACAGACTCCAAGATCATCATCACTGACTTTGGCCTGGCCAGTGCTCGCAAGAAGGGTGACGACTGCCTGATGAAGACCACCTGCGGCACGCCTGAGTACATTGCCCCTGAGGTCCTGGTCCGCAAGCCCTATACCAACTCAGTTGACATGTGGGCGCTGGGCGTCATTGCCTACATCCTGCTCAGTGGTACCATGCCCTTTGAGGATGACAACCGCACACGACTGTACCGGCAGATCCTCAGGGGCAAGTACAGTTACTCAGGGGAGGTGAGTCTGCCCTGTTCTGGGGATATTGGTAGGCCCCTGAGAGGGGGTATATCCTGCAGCTCTCAATCAGGGGGATATGCTCCAAGGGTCATATTCACAGGGTCAGGCAGGTAACATAAAAACAGTGAAGTCAGACTAGTGGGGTGGCCTAGTTTGGGTTCCCCTGAAAAGTGAGCCCTGAGACAAGGATTTGGGAGCAGATTGTTAATTAGAATGTGATTCCAGTAAGCACAAGTGAAGGGTGGGGAAAGCCAATTAAGGGTTTATGAAGGAGGGGATGGCCACAATGGGCCACTGGAACTCAGTCCCACTGGAGGCCCTGTGAATGACCATGTAGAATGTGCTTCAGAATTGTACCACCGAGGGGCCGGAAAGTGGGTGGTTTTCAGTCCACTGACTCCTATATGAGTTGAGAGTTTCTTTGGGGTCCTTGAAGCACTGGCACTTCCAGGCTGTCTTGAATGCCAGTTGTTGCTGGAGGAAGTTGTCAGGTCAAGAAGCAGAGAGGTCAGGCACTGGCAGTGGGCAGCTGG